GGTGGGAGAGTCAGGCTTACATAGAGCTCTTCCACTGATCAGGAGGCAAGGGGAAAAGGTAAGTGTGTAGGCAGTTATGTTCCTAGATATGAAAGTAGGAAGTTTTTATCTGAAGCTTTTTTCTTTTTGGGGTGGGGAAGGGGAGAAGTCCATGGCACAGTCCTTTGCTAAGAGAGAAGGATGAAGACGTAAGTTTTGATGGAACAGAATCTGGAGAAGCCAGCCACCATGGGGAATGGGAGAGATCCAACTGGAGAGCCAAAAAAGAATTTATGACGGTATCAGCTGGAGGGGCTGACTTTCTTTCCCCTATAGTGTCCAACACTATGAGTATGTAGGAAGAAATTCTGTGGTCTGGCACTGGGAATATTGGAATGGATGATTCTGGGATCCAGCAGGGTCTGGGATATGACAAAGGAGCAGGGGATTCGAGAGGATTGTGGGTGAGGAGTTTAAGGTACAGAGAAGCCAGGTTATTTGGATGATTAGGGAGCACTTCCAGATGATGGCAGGTTGGGAGGCAGAGGCCTAGAGCCAAATACCAACAGCTACAAACCAGGGTTGGGCACTGGGCAGCTAACTACGTGGTTGGAAATTGATTTTAAGAATGTTAACTTTAGGTGCTTGCTTTTGTACAAATCAATCTCTAGTGTTTCCCTGTTCCACCTAGTACTTTCTTCTTTGGGATCCTATTCCCTGCTGCCTGTCACTGCCCAAGAAACAATTTTTTCTATTAAAATTTTAGGTGACTGACAAGGTGGTATGAGGTTGATGAGAACAAGAAAATCCATTTTAGAAAGTGAAAATGCCTTCCACTATCTCTTCACTTCCCCTCCTAATCTCTTCTGCTTCCTTCAAACCTCTTTATTTCTGTATGGATAGAATAAGCTACCCATGTATCAGGAGACAGAAACATTTCTCTGTTTCTTATATAACCAGGCATGTGCTGAGGCATCAAATTTGTGTCAGCAAATTTGTGTCAGTTCCCTGAGCATGATAAAACCAGGAAGACCGGAAACTGCCAGATATGCTCCCATTCACTGGGGACCCCGCCAGACACCATTTTAAAAGATGGAAAATATGGACAGTCACTAATACTTCCTGTTGTCACCCCAACAACCTTGAATTTAAAGTGGCTTGCATTTTGCTTACCCTGGTACCCTAGTGTTCCGATTTATAAAATTTGGGGTCTTCTTAAAATTAAGAGAATTACGCTACCACATCGAAGTTTTTAAAAATGACATTAAGACAGAAGTATTTCCCGTAGTCTAAAAATTCCTTATGCTGCTTCTCCATTGATCATTCCAACAGTTACAAATCCATTTTGGGAAAACTTAAAAATGTTTAATCCCTTTCATTTCTTTTTGTAACCTTCAAATTCTTTCCATAATATTTTCTTTTTCTTTCCTTTTTTCCTCTCTGCCTCCCTTCCTTAATTAGAAGTGAGCTGAGGTATAACATGTTTTGCCTTAGAGCTGAGTCTGCACAACGTGATGGTTTCTGTTTTCACCTTTTCTTTCAGCTACACAAGGGCTGCCAAGGATGTGGCCTTTCTTCATGCCTTGGCTGCTTCTCCCTGCCAGGTGCTTTTCCTGGCCAACTAGCTGCTGAAATGCTTCCTTTGGAGAAAGGCAAATAGAATCAGAAAGCAGGGCACTTGGACACTGTTTTCCCCTCTAACACTCCCCTTCCTCCCTCCAGCCCTTCATTCAAACATTAGTTGAGTGCCTCCTCGCACCTGGCTGGAGAGAGGTGCAAATGGGGCACAAGGCATGCACAAATGAAGGAGCAGTTCTTGTCCCCAAGGCACTGCCGCCCTCTGTGACCTTAGGCAAGTGAAGCTCTCCTATAGAGTCCCATGGTGAAATAGAAGGAAATGGAACCGATGATTTCTTAAAGAGTCCTTTCTGCTTTCCTAGCTCTGATATTTCTCCTGCTTACTACTGTGCTGTGGACAATTCCTCTTTATTCCTTAAATGTGCTTGCTCTTCTATCAATTGTTATCATATCAATCAGTATCATTGATCAATCAATATCATATCAATATGAAGGTGTTTAAATATTAAAGCCAAAAAATTTTGGTGCCATTATAATATGGAATACTGCATATTCACTAAGAATGATGTTTACAAAAACTTTTAAGGATATAGAAAAATGTGCAAACTTTGTCAGGTGAAAAAACAGACACAGGCAAGGAAGGAAGCCTTAAGCACTAGGAATTAAGTCATTTGTTAACACCCAGATTTTAAAAGTGGTTATCTTTGAATAGTGTGATTATAAATGTTTAAATTTCCTACGTTGATTTTTCTATTTTTTCAAATGAACACTGAAATTATTTTTTTAAATAATAAAATGAACAAAGTTATTTTTAAATAGTGAAGTGATTGCTTTTGCAGCATAAAATTCAGTAGATAGGCTAAAGCCAGATGTGAATAATTTTTAAGATATGCTTTGCCTTGAACTTTCCAAATCTGTCCTTAACATTGACTTTTTCTGGATTCCAAGCTTATGTCATTGGTCAAATTCTGGTATCGAGGAGTTATAATCTTACAGTTCTCACTTTAGAAAAAAGGGCAGTGAGAAGGAAAAAGGAAGGATCTGCACAATTTCTTCACCTGTCAAAAATGCAGGGTTTTAGTTAGGGTCTCAGATTTATTAAGAAAGGTGAAAGCATAGGTCACCAAGAGGTTATTTCAGGAAAAGGCTCTGCAGAGACCGTAACTGCTGACCATGGATGATTTCACCACTTGAAACAGGTGCTAGGATATGTTTGCTCAAGCATGATTTCAGATATCAGATCACAGACTCAGGATGGTCACAAAGGCCAATTGGTAGAAATAAAACACCCATAAGAGAAGGCACTCCCTCCATGGTAAGGAAGTGAAAATCCTTTAAAAAAAAAAAAAATTCTGGTGAGTGCTTGGTACAAGTATAGCCTAACCATTTTCCACAATGGGAGCAGAGAGAAATGCAGAAATGGCCAGTAGCTGAGAAAGCCTAGAACTCACTCTGGTGAGCTGTAAGAGAAGGCATCTGACCTCCTTAGTTAGTCACTTATAAGTTAATAAATTTACAATAGGTCATTTTGTAACTTGTCATTCAGAATTTTAGAGGCTACAAAAAACATTGCACTGTTTCCCAGGCACTTGGGCCTCTAGAAGGTATGGAAAGACTTTACATGTGTCAGTCACATGGAAAGAGGGAAAAAATCTATTGTCGCTCAGCTCATTTGGCTCATGGAACTAACATGACGTTTTCTTAAAGAGTATGCTACTCAAAGTGTGGTCCTCCCACCAACAGCATTGGCATCCCCTGGGAGGTTGTTAGAAATATAGAATCTGAAATAAGTCAGACAGAGAAAGACAAATACCATATGAACTCACTTACATGTGATATCTAAAAAACAAAACAAACAAAAATAAAAACAAACAAACAAAAAACAACGATGAAAAAGAAGCTCACAGATACAGAGACGAGACTGATGGTTGCTGGATGGGGTAGTGGGGAATGGACAAAGGTGTTCAAAAGGTACAAACTTCTAGCTGTAAAATAAATAAGCCCTGGGGATGTAAGGTACACATGGTGACTACAGCTAACAATATTGCATTGCATAATTGAAAGTTGCTAAGAGAGTAAATCTTAGAAATCCTCATCACAAGAAAAAAAGAAAAGAAAAAATATCTGCAACTTGTATGGTAACAGATGTTAACTAGACTTATTATGGTGATCATTTCACAATAAATACAATTATTAAATTGTATTCATCATCAAAAATCAGGTGTATTATGTTATACACCTGAAACCAATACAAAGTTATATGTTGATTATACCTCAATTTAAAAAAAAGAGAGAAATGAGCTCACCCAGGCCTACCAAGAGGAAACTGCATTTCAGCAAGATCCCCATGTGATTTATATGTGTACTAAAGTTTAAAGAGCACTGTATTATAGGTATGAAACGTATAAACTACATGTTTTACATGTAAACTACATTTTAAGCTCTTGGATTTTTCTTCCTCTTACTTGTTTTCAAATGTATTGAAAATAAAATTTTTTACTGTGGCAAAAAGATTCATCCTCCTGCTAAAATCTCTGTGTGTGTGTTTCTCTCAGCTAAGGTACTCAGAAGCAACTTGACATTTGTAATTTCCTTTTCACACCTAGCTTACAAAGACAAACATTTTCAGCTGTCCCAGTTTTCTGAATTAATTATTCATTGCATCTTCTAATTCTAGGCAAATTTTATCTTTGAAAGGATATTATTTACCACAGACTGCTAAAATCTTTGCTCCCTACCTTTTCCACTTTCCGGGAAAATTATTTTTTCTTCCATACTCATTCTCTAAAAGTCATCAGGAGAAATTCTAATTTTGTATTTTTTTTTTCAACTAGGCTCCATGCCCAGCATGGAGCCCAAAGCAGGGTTTGAACTCACAACCCTGAGATCAAGACCTGAGCTAAAATCAAAAGTTGGATGCTCAGTCAACCGAGACATCCAAGTGCCCCTAACTTTGTATTTTTCTAAGGAGGTGTTATCATTGTTCACATGGGGGATGGTGATCTGGCTTCTAGTTTGAAAATGTGCTGGTAGTGGGTAAATATCTAAGAAGCCACCTATGAGAATGTGACCTATCCAACCCACAGCAGGAGCTCAGGGGGCACAGACCCGTCACCCCATGCAGGGCTATCCCTGACTTGAGAAAGTTTCTCTTTGTAAATGAACGAACAGTTCCTAGTCTGCCAATTACATCACAGACTTAACAGTATCAGGCAAACGTGCACATTGATTTATCCTTGGCCTAGGAGAGAATAGGTCAGAGAACTTTGAGGGAAAACTTATGGATAAATTTGAAATAATGTTTAAAGTGCCCTTCCGATCTGCATTACTATAAAAAAAAAAGGTGGAATTTTCCTATAAACATTTGGATTAAGCAAAAGCAAGAGGCAGAGGGAATCTAAGGTAAGATCGCCGTGGGGTCTTCTTTGGAAGTTCATTCTCACCTGATTGTCGAATCCGTTGAAGAGTTTGCTGGACCAGAACCTCCGATCTTGGGACAATGATGATAAAGTCCACTTTGCTGAAGTGGCCCAGGTCCAGGCTCTGGCTGCCGCTGTCTGCTATGGCACACACCTGGGATAAGAGTTTTCTGGCAACCGTTAGCTGTGGTTGGTAAATTTGGAAGGTCTCATTATCTAAATCTAAAATAAAAAAGTCATAAGAACAAGATTAATTCACTTCTGTTGACGGCCACTGTGAACCTATGTGGGGGACACACAACACACATACACAGTAAAGCTCTATACCGAGCATTCTAGTCACACTCTCTATTGAGTTTTAATAGATTTGCTTATTTTCTCTGAAAACTTGACCGAAAGGATGTGTTCAAGAGTGGATGTGGTAATTTTATAAAAACGTGTTCTTTTAAAATCGACTGATCATCTCACAGATCACTATTAAGCATCCATCCCCCACCCAGAAATGTCAGGACAGGCTACACTCTCACGGTGGGAGTAGGGACTCATCTCTGGAAAGGGGAAGCAAGAGTTTCCAGTTTTCTTTAGGACTATCAGCACAGGTCAGGTGCCCAAGCCCAGACTGAATTCAGGGAAGGAGGTGATGCTGTAACCATACTAATGCTGAATTCCTTTGAACTTTTTCTGGACAGCACCACAGTAAACATTTCCTCTCCAGCAAGGCAGTTGCAACATGATTTGAAATTCTTCTCCCAGGGACTGTATAACACAGGTCACAGAGACACCCCCTCACCTTCCTTCCCACTTGACTTGCCGGTGCTTATGACCTGTCAGTGGTAGGTCATTGTGGCCAGCTCCAACGCTGACTCCTATACTATCTGAAGTGACCTGACTCATGACAGGGCCAGCTGGCACTCGAGAGGTGATGCATTAGAAGAACATTGCCCAGACACTCTAATCATGTCAGTGGCTTTTTATTAAAACTTATAACCAAGCAATCAATCTCATACATGCGCGCGCGCACACACGCACACACACACACACACACACACACACACACACACACAATTAACTAGGCAGGATTAGAGTAATCCTTGAGCAGGCAATATTTCATAATTCTTATGAAGCTGCTTTTTATCAAGAACACAGTGAAAGTCTGACTGGAATGCACAAGGCCACAATTAACTTGCATTAATTAATGTTTTCTAAAATCAAATTGCATGGGGTGCCTGGGTGGCTCAGTCAGTGAAGCATCTGCCTTTGGCTCAGGTGATGATCCCAGGGTCCTGGGATCGAGCCCCGAGCCCCACATTGGGCTCCTTCTTTGGTGGGGAGCCTGCCTCTCTCTCTCTCTCCCTCTGCCTGCCACTCTGCCTGCTTGCGTGCTCTCTCTTTCTCCCTCCCTCTCACTTTGTCAAATAAATAAATAAAAATCTTTAAAAATCAAATCAAATCAAATTGCAACGTGGCCAAGGTAAAGACAGTGGTCAGAGTACCCTAGCCACAGGGAACCCTGACAGTCAGTGGAGATTTATACAGATGGCTATGAGAACCCACTAGAAAAGACCAAAACTACAAGTTTTAATAGCAGAATGGTTTTTGACCCACAAAGATTACCAATGAAAATAAACCTGTCTTTTGATAGGCTATTATTTCTTCCATGTCATAGGTTAGATGGGTGGGGACTAACCAAGATGATAGCGTACCTTTGGAGAATCTAATGTAGCAAATTTTGAACTTCAAGGAACCATTAACATATCTTTAAGCAATGCTTCTTAAACAGGGCATCAAGGATATGAATGTGGAAATTTGTAAGTACTCTGAGAATTTAAAATTCTAACTTTGTCAATAATTCAAACATAATATGAACATCTTTTAGATTATCCAGGTGACTGCTTTATCATCAAATAAAGTGGAAGTAAAAACATTTTATTGTGGGGGCGCCTGAGTGGCTTAGTCAGTTAAGTGTGTGACTCTTGATCTCAGCTCAGGTCTTGAACTCAGGGTGGTGAGTTCTAGCCCAGTGCTGGACGCCACACTGGGCATTGAGCCTACTTTAAAAAAAAAAAAAAATACTGCATGCATTTGAATTTGTTTTTATGACTGATACTGAGCTAATGCCAAGCCATGCTACTTCTATTGCTGAGGCAATCCTAATATATAAATGACACATTCCTATTAAGGGAAGGCCAGAAGGCTGTCAGCAGCAGCTTTATGGATCTGTTTCATGTCTACCCTTTGTCCTATTCTTTTTTTTTTTTTTTGGTTCTCTCCTATGTTGTCCTTATCATGTGTGGGGATTGGGAGGAAGTCTGAAAATAAAGGAATCCAATCTAATGATGGAACTCCTCAGTCCTGCTCCTACCATCCCCCCCTTTTATTTTTATTTCTAGATTTTTATTTATTTATTTTAGAGAGAGTGAGAGAGAGGCAGAGGGAGAAGAAGAAGCAGGCTGCCTGCTGAATGGGGAGCCTGACATGGGGCTCAATCCCAGGACCCTGGGATCATGACCTGAATGAGATGAAGGCAGAAGCTTAAATGACTGAGCCTCCCAGGTGCCCCCGTTCTCCCCCTTTAAAAAATATTTATTTATTTAAGTGAGAGTGTACGGGGGGAGGGGGTGTGCAGGGAGGGGCAGAAGTAGAGGGAGAGAGAAAAAATCTCAAGCAGACTTCCTTCTGATAAGGAGCCTGATGCAGGGTACGAGCTCAGGACCCTGAGATCATGACCTGAACTGAAATCAAGAGTTGGATGCTTAACTGACTGAGTCACCCAGGTGCACATCCCACTACCCCTTTTTGTACCCTGGAAGCTTGTCGGGGAAAGGCTGTGTTGGTATTGTTGTGCTATCTGCCAGGGATGCCTTGCTATCCCTGAGATGATGTGTGTTTTACATGTCAGAGAGTCAATGAAGGGTGTGCCGAGACAGGGATGCACGGACTGCATTCTACATTCTTTCAAGCAGTTCCTTGTAGCCCTCGGAGAACACCAACAGCTCTTCTGGGCATAGCTGGAGGAGCTAAGGAAAGCATACCAAGGACGACAGAAATTTCGAGGGAAAAACAAAAGAGAGAAAGAGAATCTGCTTATAATAAATTTAGTCTTTAACTTTGATTTTAATTCTAGGAGACATCTATTAAGAACAAGGTGTTGGATCCAGGCCCCATCATAAGGCATTTTTACCATATTTATCATGTGGATAATGAGGAAAAACCTGTCACACTCTGTGACTCTAACACAAGACCTCAAAACCCTCAGAATGACTTAGCTTCTATTTCCTCCTTTTGGTCTGAGGTGACGTTACCCAGGTTTTGCGTGGGGATCATAGCGGCAGCCTCCTGAGCTGACACACACTCGTTAAGATCTCCATTGAAAGGGGTCACCACACTCTCTCCTCTTCTCTGTTGCATTTTGTCTAGCAGCTTGTCCAGGTCATCGCCTATTACGTAATAAAGCAGAGATAAGAAGATTGCAAGGAAAGATACATTTGTATCAGTCTCCAAACTGGGCACTTCAGCTGGTTTCTCATCAACCTTTGTCATCAGCCCGCTTTTCCTGGCTGACAGTGCACTTGGTCAAGTCTGCCGCAGTATCTAAAGCCATAGCGACCCTCGCTTGTATTGTGCTTGCGACTTACACACTTTCACATGGTGTCTCTCTCTTGACCTCCGTCGTACTCAAAGCAGGCAGGATGGGATCATTCTATCTCCATTGGACACATTAGAAAGCTGAGATCCGAGAAGGCAAACTCTCTCCCCAGGTCACGCCACTAAGTCGTGGCTGAGCTGAGGACCCCCCCCCCCATACTAGTGCCCGTGTGCCTTCCTCTGGACCCCTTGCTGGGTCAGTAACAAAATACTGAGGACAAACCTTTCCAAATGAGGGAAGGTCAGCAGGCAAGTTTAAGCACCACACTCATCTCCTTGACGGGCTAAGATTTAAATTCAGAAAATCACACAGCTAGAGGCTGGCAGTGTTGCAGAATCCTACAAACCACTCACCTAATGATGTGGTTTTGAAATGTGATGCCAGGAAACTGACCTTTCCTGTGATGAGCTCATAACTAATTTCTTTCAAAAACTCACTTGTGGTGAGCATGCTCTCTGCCAGAGCTCTGGACTGATGCTGACCTGCAGGAGAGAGGGAGAGGAGGTGACGCCCCAGTGAATAAATATTCACTGCAATATGATTTGTAACAGCAAAAGTGGAAAACAATTAACGCATGTAACATAGGGACTTGGTTAAGGAAATTATGGCACATCAAAAGATCGACAGTTACACAGCATTTAAAATGACTATGTTAAAAAGAAGTTATTTATAATAAAATATTAGATGATTAAGGGCAAAAATGATAAACCTTATGTTTGTAACTGTGAAGACATACTATACATGTGTTCAAAGACTAGGGAGGAATGTAAAAGACCTTTAAAACTGTGTTTGCGTGGTTATTATGAATATGTCTTAAAATTATAAACTTGTGGTGTTTAGCTGTTTTTATAAATGAAAATTTTAAGAAATTAATGTATTGTACTTTCTGATGAAGATTTCTGAAAAAGATTTATGTCATAGAGAGATGGGCGGGCAGGTTTTGCCCAAGTGAGGGGGTTTCTTCAGTAGGACAGGTGAAAACCAGCACTAGAGAGGAAAAAAGTGAATTTAGTCCAGATGGCTGTACTCATGAGGTACCAGATGGATGGTACCTCATAGAAAATCAGCACAAGAAACAAAAACACATTTTGTAATGCTCCAACTTTCTGAACCTTTTCTTTATAGACTCAGTGTTACAACATTAAGTAGCCTCTTCAGTGAGGAGGTGAATACGTGAGCTAAATTTCTTGGCAAGCTTGATTCACTGGCTTAGGCCACCTGTGGCAATGGCTTTATCACATGCTAGAGTGGTAACATTTCCAGAACCTTTTAAGGACAGAAGTTATGTGAGACAAGGGTATCTGTTACTAGGACATGCTTTGAAGTAATGCTCCCACAACCAGCTGACAAGGACACCAGCCAAACTAAGGGCTACAAATATCTGACATGAGGAGAAAAACAAAAGTTAAAATTAGGAGGGAGAACTCAAATGGGAGCAATTAACTAGAGATTAATTACATGGATGCTTGAAACACCCAATAAATAGTTTTCAAATGGAGAGATAATTGAATGAATGGATTAAAAAAACAAAACAAAACACCCCAAACATTACTCACCTAACACTACCACACAAAATTCGTTTCCTCTGATTTTTGAGGCACAAATCGCCACCACATAATCTGGTAGTCTTTGATAGTGTCTCATTTCACTGAGAGTCCTCAATGTCTCTGAAATGCCCTCGGCCAAAGAGTTTTGGGTCACGATCACATGAACCAAGTCTTGAGATACGCTGGCAATTAGTCTCGCAAGCCAGGGGAGTTGTCCTGGAGACACAGGGGTACACTGAGCACCCAGCTGCAGGGTTCTCTCTCTCAGAGTAAATTCCTGCATAGCCTTCAGCATGATTTGCTCAAATTCTTCCCTGAGAGGTATCTGATCAGGACCTAAATTGAAGAGAATTACAGCTAGATTTAAAACACATCACAGCCAGAAAAGAGAGAAAAACACACATACGTTAGTGTGTAGTCCCTTTTAAGTCCACCGTATTCCACAGGCAAAAGAGCTCTTTCCTGTTGTGGCCACAAGCACAGAGGCCCTGCTAACCATTTTCCACCATGAAATTACCTTCTCTCTGTGTCAATATTAAACACAAATGTGGGCTTCTGTTCTCCTTTATGCTAATCTTGATTTTTTTTTTAAGATTTTATTTATTAGACAGAGATCACAAGCAGGCAGAGAGGCAGGCAGAGAGAGAGAGAGGAGGAAGCAGGCTCCCCACTGAGCAGAGAACCCAATGCGGGGCTTGATCCCAGGACCTTGGGATCACGACCTGAGCCGAAGGCAGAGGCTTTAACCCACTGAGCCACCCAGGTGCCCCCTAATCTTGATATTTTTAAAAGAGGATGTGCTCTGAGTCCACTGTGTGCCTTTGGGGTGGTCACTGAAGGTGGTATATTTGTTGACCTGTTAAACTTCTTGTTACCGATACGATTAATGACTCAGGAAGGAAGAAGCTAACCTATCAGCACATAACCAAATTTAGGTTTCACTTGTTTCTCATTTTATTTATAGCTACTTTGAAAAACATCTTAATGTATTGCTTCTGTAGGAATACTGTCCATAAGAAAATAAGGTTCAACTATTTTCACTTCTGATTTTTATTTAGGCAGCCTCATACGTTCCCCCGATAAAGAATGTAACCGTCACCTAGCTAGTCCCCAGCATTTTGGGTTGTTGAGGACGGCATTTGGTCTTCTCCTCCTGTGGCGGTTACAGCTAAATTTATATGGGTGACCTACAGCCCCTGGTATTAGGGAGATTTTGTTTCTCTGATTCTCTTTAGAAACTCAACCAGTCTTTAGGACAAAACAAGCAAGTCAACATTTGGCACCCAAGTGACTCAAATAAACTCTGACATTTAGTTTCAATCGAAACCAGTGAGGCTATGGTCACTCCCTCTCTTCAGTCATCTCTTCTGCTGTGCAGACCCGAGATTTGAAAGTCAAGCTCTGCTAGACAGATACAGACTCCTCAGTGTCTATCACCCGAGATCAAGCAATAACTTCACAACCCAAGGCTAAAAATCCCCTTGGGAAAGAACACAGGTTTAAGGGACTGGACTTCTGTATGAGGAGGTATCTTGAATGAACCAGAAATCTTTCCTTCCTTAAAAGGGATTTAAGTGGCCTTCCAGGCCCCCACCCATATTCTCTAGGAAAGTAAGAAAATGAAGGTTTAGTCATATTTTCAGGATATGGGCAAATAAATAAAATATTACATATTGTAAAAATAATTTAAATTGGAGAAAATGTGTTTTTCCATGATTGGTTAGATGCTAGAGGGAGGGAGACTGAAATCCTCTCAAAGTTTTTTCCTGCTGTCCATGGAAAGCAAGCAAGAACCCTGCAATGTTTACATTGTGTTAATATTTCTTATGTCCTCCCCAGTCACTTGCTAGAGGGAGGGGGATGCCTTCTTATCACCTGGGAGCCACTAAAGCTTCTGTCTTCATTCTGCTTTATCCAATTACCATCATGGTTAGTGGTCACTAGGGGCATACTACGTAGTGAGCTTAAAGTATACAGATTTGCATTGAATGTACAAATGCACAGTACAAATGAGATGAAGGGAAGGTGGCTGTCTATTTAAAGCTTTCTTCCATCAGAACAAATGATATCCAAAAGCAAGTGGCTTTGCTGCCATTCCCCACAGCCTCTCATAGACCTCCTGGAGGCTTAGAGGCCTGCTGACTAGGTGTGTCCCTAAGATCTGCTCCAAACCATGATTGAGTAACATGTTCTCAGTGTAATCAGTTTCAAATGTAAAGGCATTCTGGGAATATAAAATTATGAAACATGTTCATAGCATTTTCCATTGCCTTGAAACTAACTTTTATAGAATTTTGACTTGAATTCCTGTTAGGAATTGAGAAATAGAGGAAAATGTACCAAAGTTTAAATGAGGCAAGAGAGCAAAATGTCTTGCTTCCAATCACCTCCCATCATTTCTTCATCTTTAGCCTTTATAGTTAAATTGCAGGAGCTTTTCCTCCACTTCCCACAAGCTTGATAATAGTAATTTTCCCCCCATTAACTGTTCCAGTAACTCAGGTTAGCCTAGGCATCAGCTCTAATGGCTTTTCAGATAGGGCTACCTTCATAAGAAGAGAAAAGGTTCCAACAAACTCAGAGCCCTCCAATAATCCCTGGATTTGATGATTTTACTTTCTATTTCAAAAGATTTTAAGGCTGTGTAATAATACATTGATTAAAAAAAAAACACAACAAACTGACTGTAGTTAAAGGACTCTTCCTTCTGAAGAATCTTACTTTTCTTTTTCTCTATTATGTCCAGGTAACTGAACCATAAAAGTATTAGACCTGTTCTTTTAAAAGCTTAGATTTAAAAAAAAAATCTATCTATAAAGCATATGTAAAAAATGTTCTTCCTGCCTTCTTCAAAACCTTCAGAGGCAAAACAAACAAACAAACTACAAAACTACAAACAAGCAAAAACTCAAAGACTCCAGAAGAAAGTTGCTGAGGAGAAGATGTGTCCTAACGTACAAAATTTAGATTAAAAAAAAAAATAGCCATTTGTGTTGCACACTGAGAGATATATTAATTGGTTGCCAGTGAAACTCTAGAAAGAACTAACTGATCCCACAGGGCAGAGAAGACAGGTCTAATTGAATGGAGATTTTTCTTTTTTTAAGATAAGAGCTTTTAGTTATTTGAGGAGAGACATTTTGTTTTGGCCATTTAGTTTTAATTAACTTGGACTTTGATATTTAAAATTGTTATTAAGGTTGAAAAAATACTGTACCCAATGCCTTGGTTTGCCAATAGCATTACTCTATGGGGGGTTGTGTTACTAATTCTGGGTGCATCAAGAAGCTGGTTTTAGATCTTGGAACATAGTCGAAAGTCAGTGCATGCAATTAAAATTATGACATCAAGTGAGCTGCAGGCACAGGTGGTTTTTATAATTTTATTAGCCATTAATCAGCATGGTTAGCAAGTCTTAGGTTTACCATCAAAGTGACTCCTAAGCTATCCGAAGTCTTCCAAGTTTCAAAAGCCCATGTCATAGCAGGCCTTCAGACTCAGGGCACCAAGCCTTACAGCTGCAGTTGCTAGCTGATGGCCCAAAGACTGAATCTGGTTGGCTGAAGCTTCTTTTTTGATTTTAGTATTGTTTAGCCCAGTATTTTCATTGTTTAACACTTCGGTATCTCCAAACATTAAGATAATTTACAAGAGGGCAGATAAAATTTCTAATGTGTAATTTTTCATCTTGAGCCTTTTCCAAAGTAAATCAGTGGCTTGAAGTCTTAAAGAGAGTGTATAATTAGGTTGCATATTAGACGACCTGCTGCAGTTTGCAAAATAAAGGACATTGCAATGTAAATGTTGCTGAGCCCCTGACAGCATTGTCAGGGCACCTGCACATACCCACTGTGGAGCTCAGGAGGACATATCAAATAGAGGAAGTGAAAGGTTCATGACCTATGTATCTCCCTTACCCTGTAGCCTAAAGAACCTTTCAGGGAGGTCCACAGATACTGCCTTAATGAAGGAAAACATGGTGGGACTGCATCAAAGGGGTGTAGCTGGAGAAGAAAAAAAAATGGATGTAGGGACAGTGGCTGAACAAGGTAGAAAGGCTAAGTAGAAAACCGTAAAATAATTGTCTAAGGCAATGGCTTTGTTTGTATTCCAGATGACAGCTGCACTTTTGGAAGGATGGTTGGCTAGACTCCCCAAGGGAGGAGGGTGCTCATGGCACAGCCCTTCTGCCTGTATGAACTGGAGACCTTAGGGCCATCATGGTACTGGACACTAGGTGGCGCAATTTCTCTCTTCTAGGACCCAAAGAGGCACTCAAGAAGCCAGGGAGGTGAGCGAGAAATGGGGTGGAGGGAAGGCAAGGGGCAGAAAGGAGTAGGAAAGAAATGGGAAAGGAAAGGGAACAGTCATAGAGAGTAGGGTTGAAGGAAAGAAATATTAGAAATGAAAAGGGGAAACTAAAAACTGGACAAGTGGATGAACGTGAGAAAGTGGGGAAAGAAAGGAAAAAAACATGATGCAAAAAAGAGTAAGAATTATCACCACCAAATAATTATTGCAAATCGCTTACCTAGCCGTACAAGATACTGTATCGTCAGAAGAATCATGTTTTCGACGCTCAGGAGTTGGCTGCCAGTCAACCCTAAGTGTTCCAAATCTTTGTTTTCCAACTGTGAAATCTTGTAGCAATTCACCAGCAGAGGACTCACAACAATGTCACCAACATTTCCATAGAAATAGGGTAAAGTGCCATAGCCTGCCCCAACAGAAGTAGGTCAATAAAATTCAACATTTCTTTTTATTTTTTTTTTAAATTTTATTTTATTTATTTGAGAGAGAGAGAGACAGAGTGAGAGAGCATGAGAGGGAAGGTCAGAGGGAGAAGCAGACTCCCCATGGAGCTGGGAGCCTGATGTGGGACTCGATCCAAGGACCCTGGGATCATGACCCAAGCCGAAGGCAGCTGCCCAACCAACTGAGCCACCCAGGTGCCCCTAATATTTCTTTTTAAAGTCCAACCAGGTACGCGTGCCCAACTAGGATCAAAGATGTTTAACAAAGTTTCCTGCCCTCTGAGATGAGAATTCTAGGGAATTCCCTCAGATGCTTCCGAATTCTACCCTTGCATTAAATCAGATGAACAAGAAGCAAAAGACTCAGATGGTATCATCTCTGTTTCTCACAGAAGGGACATGTTAATTTTTAATGGGCCCTAGAGGATTGATGAGAATTTGCAAAACATCTCTGTATCCTTTTGCAAAACTGCAATGACAAAATATTTTCCAATAAAATTCTTGATCAAGTTTCTTTCCACATAAGAAGCCAGAAAACCAACCACAGTAACATAATTTCTTTCCTGAGGTTTTCTTAAACATTTTAAAAAGCTAACGAACTCAGTGATGACCAGCAATATTCTCCTAGTCACAGGTACATGCAGGTTCCTACCCTTTGTGTTATCTTAGTTATTTTTATGTTCTCAGATGTCAGTAAATAGCCTCGAATTATCTTAGAAGTAGATAGGACAAAAATGTGTTGAAAATATACCCTGTACTGGTGGTGTGGTAAAAACAGGGGTAGTCTCTCTGTGAGACTTTCTAAAAGGCAGACACCAAAGGTTCCCCGTGTTCTACATATCTTTCCAAGGCTTAGCTCCAGTATGCACACCACTCAAATGTTTAATAAAGACGTTTTGACCATATGGAATTTAAACAACTGAGATTCTTCCAGTGCCTATAGGCCCAGGAGCGGTGGGTAGGACAGCCTGATTAAGGACAGGGCTTGAAGCAAAACCATCTATGTCGGTAGGCTCAAGTCAAGCCAAAGAAGCAGATAACACCGCATATAGACATACCCTAAAGATCCAGGGAGGCTAAACACTCCATCTATTTAGTCCCAAAGGTAAAGCAGGAAGTCACCTTCTGACCTAGAAGAGTCCCAGGATGAGGCAATTCTTGATGGGGGTCTGAAAAGCATTAAGTTAGTCCTGGATTCCAGGGCCCTCTAAATTTCTACACCTCCACTTATAGACATTTTGGAAGGACTCAGACTCTGTAAAGATAAGTGGTTCGCAGACGCTTCCCCATGCAGCTCTGGGACCTCTTGGTTTTCCCAAAGGGGGCCTGTTAGCTGGTTCAGCTTGTTTCTTTTCTCTGTGGTTTGACTGGAACGTCCTTTTCCCTTCAGGACCCAGCTGAAATGTCACCTCTGACAAGTCCTCTCAGAATCCCTCCAGGCAGAGTTGAGCTCTCTCTCTTTTGAGTTCTTGGTTGCAAACCTCTAGTAGCTCAAGTTTCACAATATTGTTTACATGACAGACTCCCCACAAAACAGTGCTCCCTATGGGCAAAAAGGCTTTCTCTTATTCCCAATTTCTAGTTACATGTTTAACAGCATGAGTGAGCTGACTGATAAAAGCTGAAAGAATCAATATAAGGATGAATGAATACATGCATGAACATATGGATAATTGCACAAACACTGAAATGGAGAAACAGACCCAGATCCCAGCAGACACAGGCAATGTGGAATGCCTTTCCCTTACCTATCAGAATTACTGGTCTAACTCCTGAGTTACTCAGCAGGTTTTCAGGAACAATTACAGTTTCCCCTGCAGGAATGGGTCGAGGTTGTAAAATTCCAGTTAATGGGGTCTGTGGAACTGGAGCAGATAAAAGGGACTCTGGAAAGAAAGTTGTTTGACGAAGGATTAGACATGAAAGCTAAATGAAATACCATTGAAATCAACATGGTCCTAATACTTTTAGACGTTTTAGAAGTTTAAAGGTTCATTTTTTTAAATTAGAGCAATTCATGTTTACTATATAAAATTAGAAGAGAAAAACAGAAGGAAAAAACCCCAATCATAATCACATCATCAGGAGATAACTACTGTTTAGCATTTTCATAGTATTTTCTTCTAGTTGTTTTTCCACATGCAATCTTTTGGATTCTGTTTTGTATTTAATTCCCTCCATCCTCATCCCAATTATCCATGCCTTATATACTCATTATAGAAAATTTGAAAAATACAGAAAAGAGTGAAGAAGAATAAACTCATCATTATTCAGTACTATCTAGAGGCAAACACAATAGCATAATTCTTTGTTTATACAGCATCTCTATGTAGTCTTTAAAACTTTAAAGACTACTACGTAGTCTTTAAAACTTTAAAGACTACATAGACTACTATAAAACATATAGTCTTTAAGTTTTTAAAGAATCCTATTTATGTCTTAGAATTGGTATATTTAAATTTGTGCTTAGTACAAAGTAGACCAGTGTTTAAACATTTACCAGTAGGTTCCCAACGGCCATGGCTTGGTTATTATAAAGGAGAACCAGTTGGTTTTTTAGGTTTCTAGCCACAGACTAAGTCGTCCAGGCCAGAAATAAGACGTGCATGTCACATAAAGGAACCAGATAACAGGAGAACACGTCTAACACCACAAATGGCGAAGCAAACCCATTTGTGCCTTATGATGCTGGGTTAGTAGCATCATCCCTATGTAAAGAATGGTTTATTGATACTGTGGGTCCAAACAAAGCCAGAGGGTGAATTAAGATCTGTTGTGATGGCCCTTGTACTTTCACGGAAGGCAGATGCAATGGGGACAAAATATCAGCTACTATTAATTTCCTTACATAATACTGGACACAATGGTTGGTTAAGGAAATTTATCTTCAAAGGTTCAAGGAAAGAACAGGAGTAGAAGATAATTTTGCTAATTCAAAAAACCTGAAAACCCATCTTCTGTTGAAATCTTACCAGTTCTTGAAAGAGGGCGAACTGTAGGAACAGGTACAACTAAACCAGGTTGCGGGACAGGTGACCCAGGATACCATCCCCGGTGTCGTTTCTTTGGTGGCCCAGAAATGAACATGGTAGCTGAAGGCAAAAAGAAAGATGAGCCTTGTCCTTAGCAGTGAAAGAAAGGAGAGAATTTAACGTAACATAGACTAGCTTTTAATTTGATTATACTCAGAAAGTCTGAGCACTCTTCTAGAGGTAAAGATAAAATTAGAAAAATCACCCTAACAATACCACCTAACATTTGGATGTTGTTTTACCATATACAGTTTACCCAGATGATTTCATTTAATTCTATCAACAACACTCTGAATGTATTGTATGCTAACTATATTGTTACACCCGTTTTGTGGATGGCAAAAGGAAAGCTCAGATTTACCTAGGGTCAGGGAACAGAGAGGAACCTTGATCTCTGTACTCTGGTCAACAAAGCTCATGGTTTTTCAAGACACCTCCTTATACATTTGTTTCAACATTATTTTCTAGCTAGGCTCATACTTGTCAATCACCAAGATCTTTAACCATCATTGTTCACACCAATCATAAACCTTCAAAACCTCAGATGAGAAGGTAAGGAAAAGCTCGGAGTGCATCATTTCAAACTCCATAGCACTTCTTTCATAGTTAAGGTGCATTATTTCAAAACTCTAAGATGGGTATCATACCTTGGTCTCCTGATGCATAGCTAGGTCTTGGTGACAAAGAGTAATTCCCTGGGCGGGCTGGAGTGGAGCTGGCTGCACTGCTCTTTCCTCCATGGCTACTGTTTCCATTAGCAGCGTCTGTAGCACACAAGAGGAATGCTCAGAGCAGGGGCTGAGCAGCACACTGCATTCTGGGGCCTTGCAACCACACCATAAACCTCAGCTCCAGGATTCAAAGACCTCTCACTGACAGGACAGCCCCATGGTGTAGAACCGACTACAAGCATCAGAGTAGTACCCTCTTTAATATGAAATGTCACCTAAAAATAATCTTCTAGGATCCCAAGAGATCTTTTAGAATCACCTTCAGTAATGTCTTTGGAGATGGTGGGTGGAAAAAAGAGAAAATTGTTTTGTTTTTTTTTTACCTTTGTATCTTGGAAATTTTCAAAAGTATACAAAAGTAGAATAATGTAATAAACTACATACCTACCACCCAGCCTCAGCATTTATCAACACATGGCCAATCTTGCTTTAGATAAATATAGATTAAGATACTTCCTCTCTTTTCCTCCTCACACAACATACTTACATACTTGCTCTGGATTATTTTGAAGAAAACTTATTTATATTCTTTCATCCATATAAATTTCTGTATGAGTTTCTAAAAGAAAAGAGCTCCTAAAACATAACTGTAATCTCATTATTCTACTTAAAATTGACAGTGATTAATAAATCCTTAATGCCAAATATCCCATTATTGTTCAAATTTCCTCCCAGTTATCTCAGAAATGTTTTTTTTTTACAGTAGGCTTCCTCAAATTGGGGTTCAAAAAGGATCCACACATTGAATTTAGTTTTTATGTCCCTTAAGCCCCCTTTTTAAAAGCTCACATTTATTAATTAATAAAATAATATAATAAAATATTTAGGGGTGCCTAGGTAGCTCAGTTAGTTAAGCATCTGCCTTTGGCTCAGGTCATGATTCCAGGGTTCTGGGATGGAGCTCTGTGTCAGGCTCTCTGCTCGATGGGAAGCCTGCTTCTCCCTCGCCCTCTGCCTGCCACTCTACCTACTTGTGCTCTCACTCTCTGCCAAGTAAATAAACTCTTTAAAAATCTTTAAAAAAATATTCAGTTAGTGTCTGCATTTCATGGACTCTCTCACAAGTTTTAAAAATCGTTTGTTTGAATCAGGATAAGGTCATACTGCAATGAGATTTAGGATAATGTCATTTTTGCTGAGAAGTTTTCTAGGCTCAGTCGGTATAGTGTCAGTCACATCCCTTTTTTCCCCCTCCTGGAACCTCCTTTAATCTATAGGATTCCCCTTCTTCTTTTTCTTTCTTCCATTTAATCTGCTGAAAATCTGGCAGAATTTTTCATTTTCTGAATTTTGCTGATTGGTTATCTATGGCATCATTTAACACCCCCCCCATTTCCTACATACTAATTGTTAGATATAGAGGGTCGCTCAGATTTAGGTTTTGGTTTTTGGGCAAGAGTATCTCATAAATACTGTCATATTCTTCCACCAGTAGGTACACAATAACTGGCTTTCTCTCTTCTTGTCATGTTAACATAGGTCAGTGGGTTCAAGAGTTGTTAACCTAATTCTCAAATTATAAAGTTGTCCATAACTGGGGGATGTGGGTGGCTCATTAGGATAAGTGTCTGACTTCAGCTCAGGTCATGATCCCAGGGGCCTGGGCTTCAGTCCCACATCAGGCTCCTTGCTCAGCAGGGAGTCTGCTTCTCACTCTCCCTCTGCTGCTTGTGCTCTCTTTCTCTCTCTGTAAAATAAGTAAAAAAAAATCTTAAAAAAAAAAATTGTCCATCAGCCCTTCATCTGATGGTTTTAGCAACCATGCTGGTTTACTGCCAGGATCCATCATTTTATTAACTTTTTTAATACTGTGAAGTCTTGGATTCCATTTGTACACATTTATAATCTAACCAGAAGGTGGATCCTGCAAGAACTGTTGGAACAGAATAAGAATAAATGTGGTCAGGATAAATTATGATGCCTAACTATTACAAAGATTCCAAGAATGGTAAGTTCTCCTTCTTCTCATTCTTCCTCTACCTCTCAGACCATTTCTTTTCCTTAGACACTGGCATTTTCTAAAATGTTATCTTTAGTTAACAGCTTGCCTTACCCCACATTTCTCTTCAGCAAATCCTATTTACTCTGGTGATTTTAATCTCGTGTACAATAAATTAGATGCCTGTTGAGCCGATCCACTTGGACATTTCATGGGTATCTCAAATTCAGCATGTCCACAGTTGAACTCACATTCTCCTCCTGGAGAACCTGCTCCTCCTTCTTATTTTCTCTTACACAACTGCATCACCATTAGCAGACAGATGGGTACAAACCAAGACCACTTCTTCTGCTTTATGCTTACATTAATCACTCAAATTCTGCGGATTTTACTTCCTGAGTTGTTCTCCAATCTGTTTCCTCCTCTCGAGCCTATTATTACCCAAGTCAAGGACTTCATTATTCCCCCTAATGAAATGACCAACTAGTTTTCTACTTCTCTCTCTCTCCTTTTTCTTTTGCTGCCAAGTGATCTAGCTCAAGTTCAAATCAGATCATGTTACTCCTTGGTTCCATAAGTTATAGAGTAAAATTCATGCTGCTCTTGCCCACTACTTGCTCCTTCCCACCACTCCCTGAGTTTTGCATTTTATGGCTCTAACAATTCCATATCACGGGGACATTCCTGTACACATGATACAGCTTCTCTCCTTTCCTTTCCAGCTTTGGTCCTGGATTTCCCCTGAATTTAAAACAGCTTTCCCTCATTCCTCTGTGTAGTGAGTATCTCCTCATAGTTTAGGACCAAGCTCCTCCAAGAACTTATCTTCATCACTCTAAAATGTTGCACTAAAACTCTCCTCCTCCTTTGTGTGATCCCTCAGCATATTGTGTATTTACTGCATTGCACTGAAAATATTTCACTATAAGTCTGTCTCCTCTACTAGGTTATTAGAGGTCAGGGATTGACCCTTATTTTTCTTTGTATCCTCGATTCCTCAAACTAGCAGGTATCCAAGAAATGTTTGCCGAACAGAACCAACCTGCTCTGTTTCCCCATGTGCCAAATGTCATTCCTTGACTCTTCTGGTTGGAGCACAGACAATACGAAGCTTTGTATAATAATACAATATTATAGACAGCCCCACTTCTGTCTTCAACTGGCAGGAAAAGAGCTTCTGTTTTCTTCTACCAAATTGTCAATGAGATTTCACACAAGTCTTTTATTGACTATGTATTGAGCAAAGAAAAATAAGTGAGGAAAACATCACCTGCGGCAAAAGTCTTCCCTACAACCTGCAAAGATAAAGCCAGTGGCTTCACAACATTCTTATTCCGGGTCAGGTCCTGAGCTCCACTTAAATTGATTGCAGAATTAGCTGGACTGAGAATTGGCGAATCTTGAAAATGAAAGAGGTTGTTCAAATTAGAAACTATTTTATATGCAGGAAGGAAGTTAATTCAGTGAGAATGAGGTGAGAGAAAGCATATTGTAAAATTTCAGTTTTATCCTTGACCTATTTTAAGAAAGTCAGTTTCTCTGTATTCGGCTTTTACTTTCTTTTTATGTATTTCACAAAAATTCACTAGAAGATACTATGTGGTGGGTACCAGCCTAAGCACTTTAAATAGATCAATTCACTTAATCCCTATTAAGGTGGGTAGTACCACCTTAAGGAGTAGTTGTCATTTAACTCAGTCAAAGTCATATGATTGTGGCATCAAGGTTATCATTATGTGCCATATTAGAACTATCTCCACAGTTCCCCTTAAAGTCGTATTTTAATGAGATATATTTATCTCTATTTAGACGACTTTGTCATTTGGAAGGTGCACTGCAAACTAAGTCATTGCAAGGTAGGAGAAAGAGCTTTTCTCTGAAGGAAAGTTTCTTTGATTTTCGGAGTAAACTTGAATTAATTTACCTATGTAATGTCAGGTACATCCAAAAGAAGGTTCCTATTTAGATTCAGAAAATAATTCAGCCCAGAAAAACCACATGCCAGCGACAGACTATGGGGACCATAAACACTAAAGCCAACGAGAGTTTTCCAAAATGAGTGCAGACTCCCCAGTCCCTGATTCTACTCTGCCGGAACAGCTTAATCCATTAATACCAGCAAGTGTCAAAAGGGGCCATTAAAATTCTCTGAGAGTTAGAAAAGAAAAAATGCTCCAAAGAGCAGGATATTGATGGTACTACATTAGGAATTATCTTAAAGGGGAAAAAAAAGGTATCCAGGAGAGTCTGGGTACCTCTGTCTGTTAAGCATCTGCCCTTGGCTTAGGTCATGATCTCGGGGTCCTGGGACAGAGACCTGCATCCCTCTCTCTCTGGCCCCCCAACCCCACTCATGGCTCTCTCTTGCTCACTCCCGCCATTTCTCTCAAGTAAGTAAATATAATTTAAAAAAAAAATAAGTATTCATATCACAGTGTGATTCCTGATGCCTCTAATGAGTGCTCCTCATAGGACCTCAAAAAATTGAAATGGTTCCCTACTGGCTCAGTAGAGTTAACATGCCTCTCTGAGGTCAGGGCTTACCACCAGGGAGTGGTTTTTAGTCTACAGGAAGAGCAGAAGCCAGAAACTGCACAGACAACACTACAACGTGCAGGAAACTGGAAGACGGTTTTTCATGTCTTAACAGAGAAACTTACAGGATAGGAATCCCAGGTAAGTTTGCTATGCTGTTGAATAGTTTGGTCGTTATGTTTCAGGCCACAGTTGTATTGTTTGGAACAAAGCTAGTAATTTACTACAGTAGTTTATACCTATAATTTTAGTGTATTTCTAATACTCCAGGTAAACAAAAATACATAGGTAAAATGTAGCTTATAAGTTATGAAGAGCAATGATTCACCTTATTTTTTTCCAAGTCACTGAATTCAAATTAGCAGAGGCCAATATTTTTAAAATAATGAAAAAGAACAAAGTTAATGTATAGGAACCAATCTTCAGATATATAAGCAATAATCAATAGATAAAATGCCTATAGAAATACACACAACTATATGCAGAAAACTTTGCAGTACTTCTTAATATAATGTCTGGGATTTGTTAATGTATAGGAATCAATTTTCAGATATATAAGCAATAATCAATAGATAAAATGCCTATAGAAATACACACAACTATATGCAGAAAACTTTGCAGTATTTCTTAATATAATGTCTGGGATTTGTTTCAACATATTGAAGGAAAGAAGGAGAGAGAAAGTAAGATTAAGTAATATTGGCCATGTGCTCATAATTTTGGAACTGGGTGATAGGTCCCTAGTGTTAGTACATTATATTAGTCTCTCTATTTTTAAAAGTTATTTAAATTCCAGTTAATATACAGTGTAGTATCAGTTTCAGGCATACAATATAGTGATTCAACAACTCCATACAATATCCAGTGCTCATCACAACATGTGCACTCATTAATCCCTACTGCCTATTTAACCCATCCTCCCTTCTGGTAAACATCAGTTTGTTTTCTATAGTTAAGAGTCTATTTCTTGGTTTGCCTCTCTCTCACTCTTTTTTTCCCCCTCTTTTTTTTCCTTGGTTTGTTTTGTTTCTTAAATTCCACATGAGTGAAATCATATGACATTTGTCTTTCTCTGACTTATTTAACATAATAATTCTAGCTCCATCCATGTTGTTGCAAATGGCAAGATTTCATTCTTTTTTATGGCTGAGTAATATTCCATTGTGTGTGTGTGTACATATGTTGTGTGTGTGTATATGTATATGTATATGTATATATACATATACATATGTATACACCACATTTTCTTTATCCATTCATCAGTTGATGGATTTGGGGCTGTTCCCATAATTTAGCTATTGTAGGTAATGCTGCTATAAACCCTGAGGTGCGTGTATCCTTTGTATTAGTATTTTGTATTCTTTGGGTAAATACCCAGTGGTCCAATTGCTGGATCATAGGGTAGTTTAATTTTTACCTTTTTGAAGAACCTCCATACTGTTTTCCAGAGTGGCTTGTCCAGTTTGCATTCCTACCAACAGTGCACAAATATTTCCTTTTCTTCACATCCTTGCCAACACCTGCTGTTTCTTATGTTGTTGGTTTTAGCCATTCTGACAAGTATGAGGTGATATCTCATTGTAGTTTTGATTTGCATTTCACTGATCAGTGATGTTGAGCATCTTTTCATGTGTCTATTGGCCATCTGTATGTCTTTTTTGGGAAAATATCTATTTGTGTCTTCTGCCCATTTTTAATTGGATTATCTGTCTTTTGAGTGTTGAGTTTTATAAATTCTTTATGTATTTTGGATACTAACCCTTTATCAGATAGGTCATGCAAATATCTTTTCCCATTCCATAGTTACCTTTTAGTTTTGTTGATTATTATTCTATCTTATATGTATTTTAACTTTCCATATTAAAGATTTCTAAAAATTAAAAAAAACACTTCTGAAGTTCATGAAAATAGACCTGAACAAATGTCAAGACATACCATGTTTCTGAGAAGGAACATTTGATGTCAAAAAGATGAAATCAATCTAAGTTAATTTATAAATTTAATGTGATCCTAGAAAAATACTAACAGGTATAGATATTATTAGAATTACTATAAGAATCATTAGAATGTTTAAAGTAGGCAAATTGATGTGATATTGATATAAAAAACAAATACACAAGGATAGCTGGAAACATTCTGAAAAATAGGAGAAATGAGTCTAATATGATGACATAATAAAGCTTACTATAAAACCTCAGTCAATAAATACTGTGGTCTTGGTGCATTAGCAGACAAACAGAATAATAGATTTAAAAAGACAGTAAGAAATAGATGCAAATACACAAGAGAATTTAGTATAAGGTAAAGGTAGCAGCTCAAAGCAGCAATGAAGATGAGCCATTCAATAAACTGTATTGAGGCAATTTGATATGTAAGAAAAAAATTAAGATTGATCCATATCTTACACTAAACACCAAAGTCAAATGACTAAAGATACACACTTGAGAACTAAAGATACAGAAATAACAGGAAACAACACAGAAAAGTTGATTATCACCTTAAAATGGAAAAGGCCAGACTATTGTTCAAAACATGGAAGCCATTAGAAAAAGGTTTATATATTCAGCTACATTAAAATTTAAGAAATCTGTATGATAAAACACTCTAACCATGCAAAGAGTAGCTAGAAGAGAACTGGAGTGGCCATCTCAGAAAACAGAAGGTTTAAGACAAAATTTATTATTAGAGAAAAAGAAGCGGTATTTTATATTGATAAAAGGATTAACCCACCAGGAAAACATAACGATTAAAAACATATATGCACCTAACAAATCAGCCCCAAATTCATGAAGCAAAGACTGATGAATTGAAGGGAGAAATAGGCAACTCAATAGTAATAGGTGAGACTGTAATATTCCACTTTCAACAATGAACAGAGAAACTAGGGAGATGATTAACAAGGAAACAAAAGACTTAAGACATTATAAATCAACTAGACTTAACTGATATCAATAAAACATTCTCCCAACAAAAGCAGAATACACATTCTTCTCAAGTGCACAAGGGAACACTCTCTAGGACAGACAATCTGTTAGATGATAAAACGAGCCTCAATAAAATTAAAGGAAACGAAATCTTGCAAATTACATTCTCTGACTTCAATGGCCTCAAATAAGCAATCAGTAACTGAAGGAAATCTGAAAAATTCACAAATACATGGAAATTAACGACACACTCTTAAATAACCAACAGGTCAAAGAAGAAATCAAAGGGAAATTAGATACCACTTTAAGGTAAATGAAAATGAAAACACAATGTATGGAAACTTATGAGATACCTGTAAAGAAGTGTTCAGAGGGAAATTTACAGCTATAAGTACATATATTAAAACAAAAGAAAGATCTCAAAGAAATAACTAGCCTCTACCTTAAAAAACTAGAAAAGAAGAGCAAACTAAATCCAAAATAAGCAGAAGAAAAGTAATAAAGACTACAACAGAAATGAATGAATAGGGAATACAGAAATAATCGCAAAAATCAAGAAAACCAAGTTTGCTCTTTGAGTAGCTTAATGAAATTGACAAACTTTTAGCTAGACTGTCCAAGTAAAAAAGAGAAAAGATATAAATTACTAAAATAAAAAATGTACAGGAGGGAATCACCGGCAACCTTACTTCTAGGAAAAGTTATGAAGGAATACTGTGAACAACTGTATGCCATTATTACGGACTGAATTTTGTCCATCCCCGCCACAACCTCCTCTGCCCACCCCCAGCCTGGCAAAACTATTTTTAAGCCTAGTACCTTAGAATGTGAAGCTATTTGGAGACAGGATCTTTAAAGAGGTAATTAAGTTTAAATGAAGTCATAAGGGTGGGGTGTTAACCTGACTGGTATTCTTTTTTTTTCAAGGTTTTTATTTATT